TCTTTACATATATGGACAAATTGGGACTATACATACACTAATAACACCTGTATATTCAGAAGACAAGAAGATCCCTATCTCCAGGATAAAGTCAAGATTACAACTGCCCTCAGATCTCTAGCATCCAGGACACCTACATGTTTTTCAAAATTTAGCAACAATATTGAATCCTGTTTTTTCCTTGTTACATCAGTTTTTAATACCAGTTTGTCTTATGGATATGTAACTTTTATTCAATCTAATACTACTTTTGAATAGTATGTTACTTGTGTCAATTGTACTCTCAAACAATGTATTGATAATAATGACTATGTTGTATTTTTGGTAGAACAATCATCATTTGCTATTTTCCCTACCAACGTTTTACACAAATAGTTTCAGAATTCTGGTGAACATGTTCTTCAAATTACTCCTTCCTCCTTAAGTCAATCAAAACAATTTATTTGTCTCATTATTGGTTTAATCATTGTTGCTTCTTTTATTGCATCTACTACTGTTTCATCTATTTGTGCTACAATCTGAAATCTAAATTGCATAATTTGTATATGACTTAGCAAAAAATATATTTAGTACTTAATGCACAAGAAGCTATTGATACATTGTATAAAGTCAATTTATTAGAACAATCAGTATTGTATTTAGCAGATAAGTTAGAACCCTTGAAAACAAGGTAGCTATTGCAATGTGATTATAGATATTCATATATTTACATTATCCTGCTACCCTATGATGCTTCAGATCCTAATATCTCATGAGATGACACAAGTGCCTGCCTATTGGGGACCTGGCACAATTCCAAATACCACTCAGGTGATTGCAGGTAAGTCACTCCCTGGGGATTAACCCAAAAAATCTGGCTGTAGAGACCTTAGAGAAATTAAGTGCGATCAATATATTTAAGAATTTACCTGCCTTGTTACTTCATGCATTTTCTTGGGCAGTGTTATTAACCCCTGTATTGTTACCTTAATTAAATCAAGGATCACAGTGTTGGGAACAGATGTTTACCCTCAAGCTGCTTGCTAATTCGAAAAGGGAGGAGCTTATAGAGGGCCAATCTTAAGAGTCTGATGTGGGTTTAAAATCCAGGACAGAGTTTGACCTCTGCCCAGGCTTTTACCCAAAGGGCTCAATAATTAAGAAGCAGGGCTCTCCAATCTCTCCCTGTCAGGAGGTTCCTGACACATTTTCTTCTCACTCTTTGAACCTTAGATTTACATATTCACTCCTCTATACAGGCACCAGGAAAAAGCCTTAGAATTTACAACTCTATCTAGGAACTCTGATGAGGAGGAAATGTATGTTATCACATCCTTAGCAGATGTTTTGGGAGTGTCTCACGGGGAGAACTCTTTGAAGTTAGGATGGATTTTCTCTATATATCCTGTACCCTCAGAAAAATAAACTGAGTCACTTTTTCTGCTTCGCCTGGTCCACTTCTTCATGTCTTATTTCACGCCTTTCTGTTCGGTGTACTATCTGGTTTCAGGCAACAACTTTCTATTATACTGTGTTGCCTAAAATCAAGTCTTTTCTGAAAAGGATCAACTTAAGTTTTGAAGCTGTAGTTTTTAATGATCCATTTAATTTTTTTTTAAAATTTGTAGGTAATTGGGGTTAAGTGACTTGCCCAGGGTCACACAGCTAGTAAGTGTCAAGTGTTTGGTCTGAGGACAGATCTGAACTCATGTCCTCCTGACTGCAGGGCCAGTGCTCTATCCACTGTGCCACCTAGTTGCCCCTTTAATGATCCATTTCAGAAAGTTAATAAGTTGACATTTTAGTTTTAACAAAATATCTTAACCAAAACCAAATGAACTTCTTGTAAATACTTCCTGATACGAACAAATAATAGTAATTTGGTGCCCTAATTATAAGGATATTTAGTGACAGCCTTCCTTAAACTTTCAGTTCTAGAAGAAAAACAGGTTTTACAGCTAATTCTGTGAATCACAGGGATGAGGTTAACTGCCCACTCACGATAGTCAGAAAAATAAATAGGGGACCTACAATTGGGTGTGTCAAGCTAGCAGCAAATTCATTGCCAAGGCAAGAAAGGCTTGTATTTCCACACTCATTATGGGTGTGATGGGGTGATGGGACCTAGACCCTGAATATTCCCATACATTTCATCAATCCAGTCCCTGGATTTTCAATAATCCTTTTAACAGCCCTTTCCCTGTGGCACTCCACAACTTAACTCCTTTCACTGTCAGCAATTGGCCCACCCCAGGCTATTTACCACTCCTAATCCCATCCAGATCTTCTCACAGTCTCTTCTGGTATATAAATATCAGTCTTATCTCTACCAAACAGCAGATTCACTAGGAACTCTGGCTCCCTAGTCAATAGGATAGTAGATTTACTAGGAATCTGCCAGCTGTGCTGGTGTTACAATAAAACTCACTACTTCGACTGAAAGAAGACTTGAGTGGTTGAATTCTTTTGAGGCAGACCCCCCTATACATACCCTTATGTCTCGGGGTTCCCCACACCCCAAACTGCAACATATGCATCTAAATTTATTGGGTCAATCAGTATTTACTGGACAGAGGATTGTCCTGGACCAATAATTTACCTCTGGATCCCTGAAATTTGTTTTCAGTAGAATCAAGAGGAATTATTTATTAGAATTTGCCAAACTCCACCAATGTTAATAAACTAGCCAGAATTGGGGGAGAAATAGTGGGAAGGGAAAAGCTTACCAGAGTGTCTTGTACACAAGAACTCAATAAATGTTTGCTTAATTAATGTTTTTCTGTCTGAATTAAATCAGATCTTGACAATATTTCAGAAATGAGGTGCCACCATGACGATTCCTGTTCTTGTCTCATAGTGGGAAAGGATTGCTGAGAATGGGGCAACCTTCCACTCAATTCCTCACACTTTCAGTGGTGAAATTCTCTTGTAAAGTGGGAAAAAGTTGTCTCTGGCATCACTTCCCTTCTTAGAACCCCTTGGGAGAAAACACTTCCCTCAGTACTTCCCTCCTGTATCAAGATTTAACAAGTCAATGTTGGAAAAAAAATTCAAACGACTCCTCATACGGTTAAAAATATTAAAAATCTAGCCAATAGCTTACTAATGTTCAGACTCCTTAAGAGTCTGCCCAATATGACTGATGTTCTAATAAACCTTGTCTTTGGCTCAAAGAAGGCATGGGTCAAATTCCTTCAGGCAGGATCTGGTGTTGTGATTTTGGGGTCCTGGCACCCCTAAATCACACTCTGATCAATAAAAGGATTCAAGACTATTCCAAAGTACTCATAATGAAAAATTGCTATCCACCCCAAGTGAACTTTGAGTGCAAACTGTAGTATAATTTTCTTGCTTCCCCACCCCCTTTTTTTTCTGATATGGCTAATACAGAAACAAATTTTGCATGATTTTAAATGTATAACTGAAATCATTTTGCTTGCCTTCTCAGTGGATGGGGAAGGAATGGGACAGAGGGAAAGAATTTGGAACTCAAATTTAAAAAAGAATGTTAAAGATAAATAATAAATTACCAAAAAAAAAAAAAGAAATAGCTTACCCTTAACACCTGACATCCAGTCACACAGGCAATGGGAGTTTTGAATGGTGTTGGAGAAGAAATAATTTTATTATGGATTCTGGGCACTTCTCTGTAAGATAATTTTGTTCTCAGTGTCCTAATGGGGACCTTTAGGTTCCTGGGTTCATTTGAGCCCTTAGGGAATTCTGCTAAAAAAGGGAGGTAATACCAAACACCAATATTCACCACTTTAAGGTTTACCACAGAAAAGAATCTATCCTAGAAGTGGTCAATTCTTGCATTAAATTAACATTAGAATACCTTCCTTAGTATAGGTACTCAATCACTGGAGTAATTGTAGGAAGAAAAGAGGAAATTCTCCATGTGGCACTCAAACACTGGTCAATCCTTTGCTAGTAGTGCTCCTTAATTTAGTCTTATCTAGAGAAAGGATGAAAAAGGAACCAGCCTATAGGACCCAAAATGATCACAACGGCTTTATCAGGAAAAATAATGAGAAATAGGGTTATTTAATGGGGGGGGAAGGGAAGAGAAAGAAGAACTAAACAGAATAATATTCAAAGACTGTATATTAAATTCTACTTCAGCAAAGAAGCTGCAGGTCCCAGTCCCCCAGGATTAGAGATAATATTATTATAATTATAGTATCCTACATAGGTTAAGTAGATACTATATACAAATACATACAATAGATACTATATGCAAACATAGTATCTATTACAATCTATACAGGATACCATAGTTATATATATTAAAAACGCATCAGGAATTTCTAGACTTTTTTACTTATAAGGGTTATAAGGTATTTAACTGGCTTATTAAAAGGAGTTTTCGTACCATAAAAATTCTTTAATAAGGGGCAGCTAAGTGGTGCAGTGGATTTAGCACGGGCCCTGAAGTCCGGAGGACCTGAGTTCAAATCCAGCCTCGGACCAAACCCTTGACACTTACTAGCTGTGTGACCTTGGGCAAGTCACTTAACCCCAATTGCCAAAAAAAAAAAATTCTTTAATAACTAAGGTGACCTAAAGAAAGGGTAATAAGACTAGTTCCCCCCTCCAAATCCTTTGCGGCCCAAGACAAATCATCTAAATGTCATTCTTAGCATGTGTCTATGTCGTTGTTTATACTGCAAAAAACTTTAAAAAGCCCTACAAAAAGTGTTCCTTCAAAGCCCAAGAAATGAGTCTCGAGTAGCACAGGGAAACTAACTAATTTCTAAGATATTTCCCGCACCAAGTACGATCCCACTGAATCATCTGGTCAAACAACGAGTGCCTTGCACGGGCCCGGCCTTCACCTAGGGGCAGAGAAGAGGCCGGTCCGTGGGCGGCGGGGCCCAGGCCCAAGCGGCTCCGGGGACCACGGCAGGTAGCCCGGGACTTAGAAGCAATAATCCCCGACGACAAAAGCAGCAGCCTGTAGAGACGGCGAAGCCAGAAGCCCCTAAAAGCGCGGAGCCCCGAGCAGCCCAAGCCGTTACCTGTCCGAACACCTGTCCTTCCCGGCGCCTGCTGATGATCTCATGGCCCAGCGCTCAATCCTCGTCCGACTCACCAAGGATGGCCTCCTCGCTGTCCGTTGTCTAAGGAACAGTCACATCCGGGTCCAAAAACTGCCTATCAAAGGACCGACGTCCTCGCCTCGTGCCCTCAACCGGCATGGCGGAGCCGCAGGCGCTGCGCTGGGCGGCCGTGCGGCCGGTTTCTGCGCTTGCGCCTAGCCGTGAGGAGCCGGAGAGAAGGCGCTGGGAAAGGGAAGGAAGGGGAGTGACGTGACCGCTGAAGCGACCGCGCGGACGCAGCGGCCCTTGCCCACAGTGGGGCGGGGCCGGCGGACGCCCCAGTGCGGGCGGGGGTGGGGGCGGGGGTTCTGCGCGGCGGTTGGTGGGGCCAGAGAGGGAGCCGCTCCTGCCTCCGAGCCGGATTCGGCCTCTGGGGCAGAGACGGCGGGAGGCGGTCGTGGCGGCCTCCGGGCTGCTTGGGGAGCGGCGATGGCGGCTCCGGCGGCGCCCCCAGCGGCTGTGGCGGCGGCGGCCCCGGGCGGCAGCGGAGGCGGTGCCGGCGGCAGCGGCGGCGGAGTCGGCTCGGGGTCGCCGGGGGTCGGGGGCCGGCTGCCGAGCCGGGTACTGGAGCTCGTGTTCTCGTACTTGGAGCTGGCCGAGCTGCGGAGCTGCGCGCTCGTGTGCAAGCATTGGTACCGCTGCCTGCACGGCGACGAGAATAGCGAGGTGTGGCGGAGCCTCTGCGCCCGCAGCCTGGCCGAGGAGGCGCTGCGCACCGACATCCTCTGCAACCTGCCCAGCTACAAGGCCAAGGTGAGCGGCGGCGGCGGCGGCGGCCCTCCGGCCTCCCCAGCCCCAGCCCAGCCCGCACCCGGGATTGCATTCTAGGAGACGCTCCGGCCCCGTCGCTCTTTCCCTTGTCCGAAAGAGCGTCAGCTGCTCTGCAGCTCCGTACCCTCTCTCGCCCCTTCTCTTGTTCTTTCATTGGAGCATTTGCACTCGCGCCCCCCCCATCTCTTGTCCTTCCATTGGGGCAATTGCACTCGCTCGCCCCATCTCTTGTTCTTCCATTGGGGCATTTGCACTCGCGCCCCCTCCCCCCATTTCTTGTTCTTCTATGAGGCATTTGCACTCTTGGCCCCCTCTTACCCCCATCTCTTGTCCTTCCACTGGGGCGGTTGCACTCGTTCCCCCCCCCCCCCATATCTCTTGTTCTTCCATTGGGACATTTGCACTCGCTCCTCCCCCTTACCCTCATCTCTTATTCTCCCACTCGGGCACCTGCAATCACTCCCCGAACTTTCCCAAAGCTCGGTTTCCCAGTCTGCTTTTATTGTCCTGCCCTAGAAACTTGTTATGCGTTAGGCTCCCGATTGCAGATGTGCCCAAGCATCCTCCAAACTTTCAAAGAGTAGGAACCATGTTAACCTCACCCGGAGGCACTTTTTCTGCCCTCTAATGCTCTTTTCTTTGGAGCCTCACATTGATAGTTGTATCTGTTCAGTTCTCTTTTTTTCCTTATACTTGCTTCGAATCCTCTGTTTGATCAAGGATCTTGCCTGTGCCTCTTAGTCATAGAGGGAAATAACAATTCTCAAGTGATGGTTGTGTGTGGTGAGGCCACCTAGGAGATACTCCCAGTCCAATGTAAACAGTTGGGAGGAGCTAGGAATGGGTTCAGTTGGAGCAAAGAATAGATGCCCGGGGTTGCACCAAAAGACGTGTATGAGAAAGGATAAGGGCTAGGGCTTCGTTTCGTAAGTGTCAAAGTCATGTTTGTGGGACCTAGATACAAAATTAAAATATCTTTCTGTGCAGGAGCTATAAAACATCTTCTGAGTCACAACTTCCCTTTAATAAATTGGGAAACAATTCAGTGAAACTACACTATCTGGCCTTTTTATTTAAGATTCAATTCAATACAGATTTCAGTTTTATAAATTAGGAAACAATTCAGTGAAGCTACACTGTCTAGTCTCTTTACCTAAGATCTAAATGATACCCCAAATCCGCATCATCATTATTTGCTATTTTTCCCAGTGACTCAAAAATAGTTTCTATGTACTTTAAATGTGACTTGTTATGAGTTTATGTTGGCTTTACCTTAGGTGTTATGGACTTTTTATCAGTAAAAAATTAAAGTGTTTGTTGGCATGTCACTGAAAAGTTCTTGAATTCAGGAAAAATGTTTCTAAGTAGTCCTTTAACATTTAGCTAACATTTTATATAGTACCTACTGTGTGTTAGGCACTGTGCCAAGAACTTTCTAGGTATAATTTTGCAAGCATCACCAAAAAATTCATTCAAGTTATCCCATTTGATCCTTACACAATCCTGGGAGGTAGGTGCTATTGTTATCCCCATTTTACATTTGAGGAAACTGAGGCAATCAAATTAAGTGACTTGTCCAGGGTCACACAGCTAGTAAGGATTTGAACTTAATTCTTCCTGACTCCAGGCCAGGTGCTCAATTCACTGTGCTACCTAGTTGCCCCAAAAAGAGCATTAAGTGAATATGTAGGATGGAGACAAATTATAGGGGACATTGACAGCTAGGCAAAGAAGTTTAAATTTGATACAGGAAGAATAGGCAGCTCTTGAGAGTTTTTGAGTGGGGAAGTGATATGAAGAAAGTAGTGGCAAAGATAGTTTAGTTTGGCAGGAATTGGGAAGAACCAGGAATCAGGGAAACCAGCTGTAAGAGTCTGTTGTGGTGACTTGGCATGTAGTGATGAGGTGGTATCTTCATTACTGAAGATGGAAGGGATAGCATGGATATAAGAGAAAGATAACTTAATGTGGTGGAAAGAGCACTGAGTTTTAGTCTTGGCTCTACCTATAACTAATTCTATGACCCTAGGCATGTCACCTTATTTTTTGGGGCCTTCTCTCTCTCTCCTTTTTTTTTTTCCAAATGACAAGTGGGTTATATGAGTTTTTTGTCCAAGGTCCATTCCTCATCCCACTTTTAGTTTGTTTGGGTTTTGTTGTTGTTGTTGATATTGGCAAACTACTCCAGTATCTTTCCCAGGAAAACCCCAAATGGGGTCACAAAGAGTCAGGCATGATTGAACAACAACATAAGGACTTGGTTCTTGGATATGGAGCATGAAGTAGAAAGACTTAAAGATGATACTAAGATTTTGAACCTAGATATTAGGTATAAAAAGATGGAGCCATTGACTGTGAGAGAGAGAATTTGGCAGGGGGAGCAGTTTTGGGGGGAAGAAAATGAATTTGGGCAGGGGGTATTGAATTTGAGGTGAAAAGACATCAAATTAAAGTAGATAAAAGAGGGTAGAGAGTAAAAAAAAAAGCAAAGGATTGAGGACCAAGACTTAGGGATTTCTCATAAATAGGGAGTTCACAGCAAATAGAAGAGGAACCAGAGAAGAAATGAATGAGTTAGGAGAATGATGATATAGAATGAATGATAAGCAATGTCAAATGCAGCAAAGACCAACAAGCATTTGTTAATGTAAAAATTAAGGTCCTTGGATTTGATAAGAAGGAAATTATTAATGATCTTGAAGAGAAGTTTCAGTATGGGAAAGCTTTCAATAAATTATAATTTTGGAAATGGGAAAGAGTATTTAAAGATTATCTTCCTACTGGTGATCTTTGAAGTCATTTAGAGAAGGAATGAAAATATTTTGGATATTTCCTCCCATAACTTTAACCTTTTTTGTTCTGATATACTAGTTAGAAACCTAGAACCATAGATTTTAAACTTAGAGGCCATGTTAGTCTGATCTCTTCCATTTTATTAGATGAGGAATTTGGGCTGAATGAGGTTAAATGACTTCCCTAAGATCACACAGGCATGAGAACTGGATTCCTAACCTGGACTTTCCACTAGAGCATGCAGTGTCATGGTTGAGCATTTTTGTTAATGAAAGCTTGCTTATGAAATTTGAATTATGGAGCAGATAAGTTTTTATAGGAAAACTTCACTGATACAGACTCTGGGAAAAATTGCTTCCTAAAACAGATACGGATTACTTAATCTATATTGCATATAGTAAAACAGAAAAGCAGTAAGATAGTGGCAGGCAGATGGCATACTCTTTCAGGTGAAAAATGATGGTTAAAAATGATGGTTAACCATATCAGTAGGTGCCACCCACAGGCCTATTCATTTTAATATTTTGGCATCCTGTTCTAAATGTAGATTGACTTGGTACATTTTTTAAAAAAACACAGAAACCAAAAAGTAGAATTTATTAAAGGAAGATAAGTGGTTACAGCTTACGCAAAGTGGCTATTTTTTAAATTATCTTTACTTTTGAGGTCAAATGGTAAGTTCAGCTGACCTGGCATATCATTAGCAGTCTCCGTTTGAGCTTTACTTCATAAGTTCTAATGATTGCATTTAGATGCTATCTATCTGGAGGATGGATTACTTTGTAAGATATCTGTGATTAAGGCTCATTGTGTGAGTAATATCAGTCAAGGAGGTGGAAGACCCAGGGCAGTGCTGCTGAGTTTGTGGTTATTAAAATTTTTTCATAAATTTTAGAGCTACTAGAAGGTCTGTTTTGTCTGAAACTATTATAACTCTTGTCAGCAGCACTATGGCCAAGAGGAAGATAACATTTGTCTCTTGAAGTTTTAAGAAGACTTGATAGTGGAAACAAGTCATGTATGAAGGATTAGAAGCCAGTTGACTAGGTTGGAGTTGAGGATCTATGCAGTAGTAATAGAAAATGACATGGAATGGTAGAAGGCGTTGAATATTAGTTAGCCTAAAGAAAGCTTTGATAAAGTAGGCAGTACTGAGCTCTAGGGTGTGACATGATGAAAATGAACCAAGAAGAATGACAAAGAAAGAACCTGGTATAGGCTCACAATTTGGAGGTAGATGGTATATTTTAACAGATGACATAAAGTATAACTACTCAACGTATAATTTGTTTCCATTTTCTTCAAAGAGATTGATATTTGAGTAGAAAAGACAGAATAAGCATTCATAAGGGGCAGTTAAAGCCCCAAATAAGTAAGGCAGTAGTTTGAGAAAGAACTGTATTCTTTAAATCAATTCATCTTTAGGCTCACCTTCTGGAAGTATCTAAAAAACTTGCATAGGTAGTTGTAAAACCATTGTTAATAATATTTGAGGTCAGGGAAGAGGGACTAGAGTTGGGCAAATGTATCTATTTTCAAGAAGGCGAAAAATGATTCTGAAACCAGAGATTGATAAGTTTGAT